TCTATATATATATATATATATATATATATATATCTCTCTCTTTCTCTCTCTCTCTTTCTGTGTGTGTGTGTGTGTGTGAGTGTGTGTGTGTGTGTGTGTTCCTGTGCCTGTGTACGTATCAGTCTTTCTACACTACCAATCCAATTACTTCAGCACGAGCATCAGAGGTGGATACCTATCTCCCATCTCAAAAAGAGCATGTCAGCACGTCAACATTACTCTGACAAAACTACCAATAATGATCAGTCAATCGCAAGTTTGTGGGCTTACCATTTTTGCTCGCTGCACCTGTTGATATGGACACAGACATGGACTCGCCACCTGCTCCATTCATAACAGACGAACTTTCTCCGTTCTTACTCAATGTCATCTTGGCCAGTCTCTGCTGAAGAGACATGCTTTCTTCTGGCATTTCTACAACATCATTAACCTGCAGGGAGAGCATCATGCCATTGACAGAGCAATGAGTAATTGACGAGTTTCTCAAACATCATCAAGGAGCTCAGTCTCACAAGCAAAAGGACACTCACAAGGAGCTCTCCATGCACGAGTGTTTTTGCTCATGACCTCAGCAGCGATTTTGGTGATATGTAATGTCTCACGAAAATGTTCATTTGTCATCGAGTTTCTAATACCATTTCTCAATCTGCAAAGTAGCATCACGTTCATAACTGACAAGCAGCTCCAGTCCGCAAGGTAGACAGATCAAACACTGACAGACGTTAGCAAGAAGTTCATGAACTGACTAAGGCAGGTCCTAGATAGCACACCCTTTTCAAGTGGAATATGACCGCTCCATGGTAACCTCATGAAAATGAGGCACAGAACAAAACACAGGCTACCAAATTTATGTTCCAACGTGCTGCTGAGAAAATAACAAACATGACAACGAGTATGGTTAAATCAGCAGCATTGACAGCAACGAATTCCTGCCGCCAATCAGCCGAGTCACAAAGACAGCAATGCATTCCAACAGCCAAGAAAATCACGCCAAGTAGCGGTGCAGAATGAACCACTATCGGACAAAAAGAAGGGTTAAACTTTTACTCTGGAGTCCTTACTATGGCATTCATCTATCTCTTCTCTGTTCCACTTACCGAGGAGCCATCCACCACACCACTGTCAGATGTTCCAGCTGTTGCCTTCGCTGCTGCAGCTTTCTTAGCAATTGGGACCTTGGTACCTCCCACCCCATCCTTTGATCCTGCAACAGCCGTCACTTTGGAGGAGGGTGCCCTGGAGGGTGCCCTGGAGCCTGTTGTGGCGGGCTTGGCCTTCGCACCACCTGCAGCCTTTGAAGATGCAGTTTTCTCTGTTATCAAAGATGCACACAGATGCGAACATCCATCCTGTTATCAGCCAGCAGAATCCGTTTGCAATCCCAAGGACAGTTTCCATCTAGGTAACCTCCTCGCAAAGCCCCCTTTGCCGCGCCAAAGCAAACGGAATGTGATGCATGACTAACAGTTGACAACTTGACACGCAGTACGTGGTTCTTGTCAAGAGAGAAGAAAACCAAAACCAGGTAATGGAAAAGCGTTATATAAGACAAAGCATTGTGTGTTTTACTAAAGGCCTTATCTGGTAATAGTGGTGGCAATCGACAGGGATGGAAAAGGTTTCAGATAGATGAGCTCAGAGGCTAATCTGCAACACAAACAGCTATGGTAGACGACCTTATGAGTAGAGAAATGGATGCGTTGGCAGAGGGGCATACGAAGCGCAGAGCGTGTGCGGATGGAAGCTCAAGAACCCAGAACCAAAAGAATACATACAATTAAGACATCTGAAAATCCATTTCAGGAGAAGTTGGCATGCTTACTTTTCGGCTCTTCAAAATCAGCATCCATCTCGATATCATCCTCGTCGTCTGATGCGGCAGCCTTGGCTTTCCGTCGCTTTGGTGCAGCTGCCTTCTTCGGGGGAATCCCTGCTTTCACTTGAGCCTTTGCCCTCTGCTTTGCGGATTTCTCCTGATTCTCTTGCTCTTGCTTTTCATATGCCTTGACGGATTTAATCCACACACATTTTGTGTGCCATTCAGCAACAAGAAACAGATTTTTGTCAGCAGCAAGCACACCCCCAAAAGCAACCAGAAAAACAACCTAGACCACACATCACAGAGCAAGTCCACCATAATGCCTTCCCACGGTGTGAAATTAAAATACCGATGCAACTGTAGATTCCGCATACAAACCATGCTCCGAATCAGGATTACATTTTACAATGTCGTGAACATTCGGAGAGAGAGATGGTGAGAGCAGTTCGTCACAGAAGATCATGCACAAAAGTAAAGATGGACGGACGGCAAGCCGATAGCTTGCACAAAGATGAACGTGCATATAGACCGTTCGGCAACAGGTTCAGCTCGAGCACTGGTTCTCTTTTGGAGAGGCTTTGCTCCTAAATACAACTCAGGCCCTGTAAATATAAAAAGTGATCATCCTTCTGGTGACAACGGCCACACAGCAGGCACATGCAACAAAAAACTTTCTGTGTTTAAAGAGTGATCAATGATCATCCTTCTGGTAACAAGTACCCCAGAGCAAGCATATGGAACTCTGTAAATAAAAAGATGAACACAGTAGCCATATACCATATTCCTCTTTTCATCCCTCCAAGAACATCTTGCAAGGGAAGGCAAGAGGCTCACTCACCTCATAGCCAGCCAAGAATGTTGTGAGATCTGTGTCCCACATTTGTGAGGGGGTCGTTGCCATAAGTGTTTCAAGGTCGGCCTTCTTACTTTCCTGGTCCCTCAGAAGCTCTTCCACCTGGGCAAAGGAGGCAACACCACACATAAAATAAGCATCTGTTAGGAGCCGATTCAATGCAATTTAGCTGCTCCGAACCAAATTCTCCGTTCTACGATGGCTGTCTGAATCGAGATCTATACAGTCATGCCACAGATGAGTGACCGACTAAGAAGCATGGTGCAGGCGGAAGCCATAAAGAAAATACCAGCCTTTTACTGAAAAGGCATGCCACATGTACTGTTATGTCGTAAGCAGCTCAGAGGGAGGATTTATTTTTTTATGTTTTTTTAAATAAACAGGTCCTTATGGTCCTGGCTTCTTGTCCATTCTTGGGAGCATCAGTCCGGCTTCTATTCCCCCAGCAAGTGAATAAAGCATACATACATCATTGGACACCCACATGCCCTCTGCCGACTGGGCGGATGGTCCCTGTAAGAAATTATATATCCTCACCAAGAGAACTCATACCAAACAACTGGGTATCATATCAAGAGGATTGCCAACGAAAATTTGTATCCTTTGATAGACATGCAAGGACTTCACACTGATAAATTCCAGCATAAAAAAAGTATTGAGAGTGATGCAAGCAGGGTTTGATGAGAGGAAACGGACCTTCTCAAGGGTCAAGCTCCAGATGGGCATGGATAGGAGGTAGTCGTAGCCACCACCTTTACCAAATCCCTTGCCAGCACCATCTTCCTCTTCTTCTTCTGTGGCTTCTTCCCCTTCCTCCTCGGGAAGAGCAGAGTTCTGTCCCTTCTTTTTCACAGCCTTGTTTGCCAGTGGCGTGAATCCCAATTGTTTGAGCTCAGCCAGTAAGTCCGCTTTTTTGCGGTTGGAAACAATGATTTCCCCTTTGATAACCATCAGGATGAACCGCACCTTGTTGTCCAGCTTCGTCATCTCATACTGCAGACCTTCCAGCTGAGAAGCCTGTTATCAGTGCAGCCACGAACCGACAAGGAAGATGCACCGGGACTCCTTCAGTTAGTCAATTGCTTTCGACTATGGATATAAAGCAAAAGCGGCAACAGAAGAGACCAAAACGAACTAACACGAGTGACCTATAAAAAGAACCCGCAGAATAGACTAGAGGGACATTATTTATGATTCTCTTATCAATGGAAGCCTAATTCCGAATGAAGAAACAGAGACAACGGAAGACAGATTGTACAATGACAGCCTACAAAGAAGGTGCACCGAGTCTTTTTGTACCAGGATGCAATCATACAAAAGAATTCCCTTCACTACTCAGTAAAAGATTCAAGGGCACATTGTACACTTGTTATTTTTTCCGTGCTTTTAAATCGGTTTAGAAATTAGAAAGTGTTACAGGACCGGAGAACAAGCCAGGGGCGCCATTCCCCCAGTTGAATTCTACTGGCAGCTCACAACGGTGGTTTGAAAGGGAACGCCAAGCCTCACTCTCACTGTCGTCAGACTGTTTGATCTTGAGGAAGACCAATTTCCTCAGAATGGAGGGCAGGGAAAGACAAGGAAAACAGGGCTGGAGCGGCACTACATTCTTCCGGTTGAAGGAAGCAATCAATGCTGCTATCTTGGAGTCCGTTGACCATAGCAAAAGAAAGCATTTGGTGAGCATCTGTTGTAAGGGACATTGGGCATGTTTCCAGTGCGTTAATAAAGCATTGATAGGTTCTCAGGGTCACCAGAAAAGGATGGCCAAATAAAAGACACCAAAAAAGTAGATTGAGAATGAGAACCAGGAGTGAATTGATAGGTGGTCAGGGTCACCAGAAAAGGAGATGGCCAAGGGTTTCCTTATTGAAAACATTTGCTTCCCAGTGGGACATTCAAACGACCAATTAGAACACGTAGTAAACACGGGACCCTATCCATCACATTGCTTTGTTTGAAAATACAACGAATCCTGGTCCCTGAACTTGCAAGAGCAGGGCAAGGTCCCACCTGTCCTGATTCTCGACATTCACAATAAATGCTCAGAATTAAGAATTCCAGGGAGGTGGGAGTTTACCCCAGGTGTCAGTGTGAGAACCACAAGAGCACCTAAGTTGATCTCATTTTATGCAGGGCACAACTGAATTCTTCAAATACCTGGCGTGAGCAGGCTATAACAAACTATTGACGCCCAGCATGTTGATGAATGAATGAACTCCTTGATAAGGCAGACTGGAGAGGCACCATCTTTACAAGCAGAGACCCAATTCTGGACACCTCCGAAAGATTGCAAGCAGAGACCCATGCTCGCAATCAGACCTATTAAGGTTACGGATATCAGCAAAAGGTAGCGAAGGTGCCCGTTCGGAACGCAAGATGAAGACAGAAATCGAGTCAAGAACACGGATAACGGATGAAAAAGCTAGGCAATCAGATTTCTGAGTGGACAGCTTCCACTTGTGGTAAATCAAAAGGAGCATGGGTTGACAGCCGTGCTCACATAAGTGCAGGCAACAATCAAGTCCAGGATCAGACCAGGGAAAATAATCCACTCCAGAAGCAAAGGTTCATTCACTGACTTTTGATGCCAACAGCAAACCCTACCCTTGTGGAGAGTAATCAGCGCTGATGTGATCCAATTTTCGTGGGTGGCTACATATATGATCCATACGTAAGCTTCTTGGGACGCTGGAAACCCAGGTTACAGAAGGTCTTGCTTCCCACTAATAGACTGGAGCTCCTTAAAATTTAGCAAAAAAAGTAAAAAAAACGAACAACGGGCAATATGAAATCACTAACATACCTTCCTCGCTGAGTAGTATTCCAATCGCAGCTTGTAGAAATCCTTGAGGACTGGCAGAAGGAACAGAATTTGGGTCAAGGGAAAAATCTTGTGTAATTTCAACTCTGATTGCGCTATTTTAACAGATTGTGCTATCTTACCCTCTGGCAAACAGATTGTGTTATGCTTACTTTAACTTTGAAGGGGCGGCAGCCTCGAGTTATCATTCTTTAGCTTACCGATCATAGGTAAATTCAGAACTCAGGTCTGTATTTCAAAGAGGCCATGTGTGTACCGACTGAGCAGCCCCAGCTGGTAGCTTCTGTTATTTCCAAACCTGGCAAACGGCAATTGACAAACTTGAAAACAGTCGAAAAGAATCTGCAAGAACTTGCCCAGTTATGTTCTGGTTCAAGCTTCAACAACTCAAATTGCCTCCCAAAATTCACCTCAAATCTCAATCGAAATTACACAAGGATGAACACCACCACCACAGACTAAAATATCCATCAAAACTACACAAAGATGAACATTCCCCCAGACAGATTGACCTCCCGTGTACCCAGCCAATGCTCTTGGTGAGCCCATCTTACCTTCCATGGCTAACTCCAGTGTGCTCATCCATAGCACTTGCCATAGCCATTTTTCCTTAAGTGGGTAGTCAGATCTGGCCTTTACAAAGAGGCATTCAGTCCTTATACTAATTACAGAAACAAAAAGAACGTGCAAGAAGAAGAGCAGGATACTGTCTTCAGGACCGTCGTAGGTCCGAATTTGACCAGAAGGATCAAACAGATTCACATTTGACGTGCTGATATTGGTGGTCATTTTGAACTTCTTGTACAGACCCACTTCCAACGCAGCGGCCATGTTTTCCTCGGAGAGCTGAATTTCAAAGAGCACCTCTGTGTCCGTGTGATACTCTTTGTAATCCTGCAAAACAGAGCAAACAAGAAAAAACAAAAGTTATTTGCATAATACGCTTTGAAGAGTTTGCAACAAATAATGGCCATAACCAAAAATAGACATACCCCCCTTAACAGACCGAAAGAGTAGCTAGGAATGCACGCTTGGGGACCTGAACAAGTAAAGAGGATGAAAATGCCAAAAGAGCTTCCCTTGTGCCTGTTCTCACACCCCTTTTTTTTCTTTTTTTTTCTTTTTTACAAACAACGGTCCCTTCTATTCTGGGGGGCATCACTCCGGTTGCTTATAACTGACAAGCATGTTTATACAAACAGAGAGGGGGGCAGAAGAGGAACAGCCTAACCCTTGTGGCACTAGTCACCTCGCAAGGGGGGAGCTGCATGGGTGGTCCCATCCCCCCAAACCGTGGTCTTTCTCTGAGGGCAATCCTGATGGCCGGGAGGCTTGCAAGCAGCACCCAGTCACACAGCAGGGTGACCCTCGCGGGGACGGGGCACAGGGGAGGCCTCCGCTGCAGTTCCTCAGGCTGCCCATCAGGTCTACCGTTTCCAAATCCACACTTCACTCAATCATCACCCGATCAACTACTTTTCAGCTTTCGTCCTACACCCATCGTAACTATCTTATCCTCGTTGACCCGCCTTGGGGCATTACTCTTCAACACTCTACAACGCTCTACAACAATGTCGTCTCACATGCCATGCTTTGGCTGTCTCCTTGTTCCTTGCTATCTCTGTCCCTATTGTGCCTGTGGCTCCTCATAGTCCATCCTAGCAATGGTATTATGGTTGTCCCAGCGCCATCCAACCCTCTACATCGTTTAAGGTGTCTATACTCATTGAAGTTTTTTGAGTTTTTGAAATTTTGATTTTTTTAATTTTGTCCCTCCCGCCCTACCTACCCTCTTTTTCGCCCTCCTCTAGACTCTAATGGCCCACCCTCCACCCCTCTGACTACTATACTTATCGGCTGCTTTCCTTGGCCAGTCCTCTCCCTACTCGGATTCATCATCCGTTTCCGCCCTGGATCTTTGACGTAATAACAGCGGGCCAAACTGCATACGACCCCATCTGGGGGTCTCGAGCAACCAGCTGCAGGTACGGGTCCCATCTGGCCCAGAATTGTTCTGTTCTACTGTGTTCTTGCAGTCGTGCCAATAAGCCTGGAGCGCCACCCGAATGTTTTCCAATGTCCTTTCCTGATATGCCTTCAGCGGGGGGGAGGTGCCCTGTCTGCAGCACTCGTTCCTCAGGGACCACAGGGCCCTGAATCGGACTAAGATAGAGTCCGCCCTCAGGATTCAACCGCCATCAGCTCCTCCGGCTTTGCCCTGTCCACTTTCATCAGCGCCCCAGACAGGATAGCCGCATCGTCCCCCTCCGTAACGTCAAGTGGGGACTTGTCCGCTATCTCATGTGCCCACCCCAATCCCAAAAAACACGCACAATCAGCCACCGTACAAAGATATGGGGCACCATCTCCGTTTGTCCACAGCCCGCCGCACATCTCTGATCCTTCTGTCTGCTCTTAGTTGCCAAGCCCTGCGCTTGGGGATCGCCAAATGGTATAGCTGCCATAATAGCCCCGCCTGTTTCTGATCCGGCAGACCCACACAGCGCCCTTCACCTCCGAAGAACCACCTTCGCCCTCACCTCCCTGTGCGCCCTATGCAACCCGGCTACGGCCACCAAGCGCCCAGTGCACAGGCAGCGCCCTACCGCCTAGCGCTAGCCTGCCTCATCCCAGCGCAGCGCAGCTCTGCACAGCGCAGCACCTCGCATTAGCGCAGCGGGCCCGCAATGCCTGCATTGGCCAAGAATGCCTTCTGTCTGCTCTTAGTTGCCAAGCCCTGCGCCTGGGGATGGTACAGCAGCCATAATAGCCCCGCCTGTTTCTGATCCGGCAGGACTGCCAATAGTGCACATTGCTCGTTCCACCTCCGTTCCGTTCATCTGCTGAAGTAGGCGTCCGGGATCCAGTTCCTCTTAGCCCACTGGGTCCTCAACTCCTCGACAGTGACAGCAATAACTTTTTGCCCGTCTTAGCAGTGGTTTCTCAATGACCTTTCGTCCAGCAACAGATAAATTTCTGCAAAATACAAGATCTACGTGACCAAATTTTCCAACTCTGGCGAGCCACACGCGGATGCTTTTTCAACAGAAAAGGATCTACAAGAGGACCTTGCCACATAGATCCTGACATAACTTCATTCTTTTGTTTTCTTACTACTGTTTTTTAAATCCACCTTTGGTTGGTTTTCCCGACTTGGCGGTGGTTTCTCAATGACTTTTCTGTCCGTCTTGACATTGGTTCCTCTGCAGTGCAGGGACCAGGGCAACCTGTCATCTGCACATAATCCACTCCTACAACAAGGTTTCTGTCAGATTAGAAGGTACGCCCCAGGATAGAAACCTGCATATGCAGAAGCAATGTCTCCAAACTATGGTGGAATGTCATTCTTTCTCGTCTGTTGTACTGGCTGCTGTTCGCCTTATCTCCTCCCATCTACTATTCTGTACCTCTCCTCTCATCCCTGCTGACTGGACTTGCAGAGTAAAGCATTGCGTCTCCTTTGGCTGGTTCGTTCGCTGATCCTTCCACTTGTGTACGACAATTACTCTCTGGGCTACACAACTTTACAATGAATGACTGTTTAACTGCGTTGAGGCAATATCTATTTCAGTCGACCAACTGCTGTTGTCTACCTCTTTCTGCTTACCTTGATAAAGGGAGGCCCAGTCTTTTCATTGCCAACAAGAAGCGTCTCCAAAAATTCTTTGTAATCCTGAGTCCATTTCCGAATTGGAAGTTCAGTGACACGCAATGTTGTCTCATCCACCTGCTCAATAGTACCAGATACGACATATGATTTCCCACGCGTTTGGTCTGCACGATCCACTTGCTCTATGATTCCCTGTAGAGTAAATTATAGACACATGAGAGCAAATCCGGATGCAAAAGAATTAGGAGGCTTACCAATTCAAAACGTAAATATTATAAAATAACAACAAAGCTGTGTGCACAAAGAAACCCCTTGGACTTGTCTTGCTGTTCAGGGAGCAGCAAACGACAGCGATTAGGAACGAAGTAGTGCCCACAGTGATTGGATTTTGACAGGCTACGTGTGGGTGGGCAATGAACCCTGAAGACTCACAACTCTGTAGAACACGGCAAAGTAATGAATTTCGCAATTTGTGAGCTAAGGTTGCATACGCCGGTAAAGTACCCATGGGTGAGGACATATGTATCAATGGCCGGGGGACATAAGAGCATTCCACACAGGTTGGCATGTCGACACACATGCTGACGGATAAAGACAACTATGAACTGGCACAAATATATACCAAAAAAGTAAACGTAAGTGTTAGCCACATCTCAACAGCTGGTGAGGTGCAGATGGTACCTTGAATCCTCTGTACCACGGGTGCATCGGGATGACATCCTCTCCCCTCATTAAGCGCCTGATGTTTTCAGTGATCTCCAAGGGATTGTAATTCGGCAAGAACGTGCTCCAGCCAGTGCCAATACCTTCAGCGCCATTGAGAAGTACAGTGGGAAGAATAGGCATGTACCTGAAAGTAGAAAGCAAACAGGGACAAAGAACGTTGTTAGGAAACAGTTGAGTCGAAGGATGGAAGACAGGAAGTTAGATATCGCATGTTCAACACAAAATAAGACATCCATGGGTGACAGGTGACGAGAGGTACTTCAATAACACTAAAGACCCACCCTGAACTGAGGAGACATGGAGTGGCAAGCTTGAGCCCTCAATGCCAACGGACACTTGGACAATATATAGGTAGGGAGAGAGAGGAACGGCAACCATGACACAGAAAAGAATGCTAAAGGTGAGAGAGAAGCAAAGTAACAAGTCAAACAGATACCAACGAAGATGGGGTAGACGAATCTGGAAATTCGAAGTTCGACACACAACATCAACGAGGGGAAAGGAGCCAACAATATGGTGGGGTGGCATCAACCGTTATGGAAAAATCAGAGGAGACTTGGACCATTCACAATATCGAATAGTCAGACACCGACTGTCCGATTTACTTCTAGGCGTTGGACAACATAGCTATGGAGACATGTGCCCAACTCTACGGCTACAATTGTTCGAGGAAAGAAGATCAGTCGAGCAGTGGTGTGACCTATAAGGTGAAAGCAATGAATGATCATTGCCTGCAATCGCTTTTGGCAGCTTCCACTTCTTGCAAGGCTTGAGCTTCACTCTGAGATATAAAGAAAGAAGATAAAACCACATCAATGGAGAGTTAAATCTGCTCTTTCCACCCCCTACACACAGCATTTTTGAAGAGAATATGTTCAAGATCGGGAGGAGGGCCGTTATCTGGACTCTTTGGAGGAAACGATGTATATTATGCATTGAAAAAGTAAGATTAGAGGACGGGGAAATGACCGAGCTAATCAAACAATATGTCCAGAATGAACTTACAATACAATGGCAGACAGTAAAAGCTAAACTGGATAGAACTCATACCAAAAAGGACAACACAGGCTATTGGGCAATTCTGAAGGGATTGGTTGGGAAGTGACCAAGGGGGTAGAGTAGCTTATGTTCGCTGGGAAGGAGGCAGTCTCCCAGAATCTGGAGAGGAGGAGGATAATATGAGACGAGACTACAACATCTGCTTTCAAGACAGGACTAAGGTGGATGCAGCAATACCGATGCGCTCCCCCTTGGACTTCCCTGACCCCTTCCCGCCTCATGGTCTATCAATGGTGGATCTCCAGTGGTATGGACTACAATGAGGCGGAGATAGGCACAGTGAAGATTGCAACTGCTGGAAGAATGGGGCTGGATGGTCATATAGTTTTGGAGGCATGGCATGCCAAATATGAGTTCTGGCTGTTTTTGTGGTAATTGAGTTCTTTACTTCTTATTCTGAATGCCTCTCCTCCTTATGGCGCTGCAAGGACTTGTCAGTTAACGATGAGGGTTTCGGAGTGGAATTTGACTCTGACGGCGATGAGCAGTTAATCCCCTCGGTAGAGGGCAACCAATGCTGCTCATCAGGTAATAGAGTGTGCTTGCATGTCGGTTCGGTTGATCACACATGTCTTGAGTGGGACGGACACATGCTGCTCATCAGGCAATAGAGTGTGCCTGCGTGTCGGTTCGGTTGATCACNTCTTGAGTGGGACGGACACATGCTGCTCATCAGGCAATAGAGTGTGCCTGCGTGTCGGTTCGGTTGATCACACATGTCTTGAGTGGGACGGACACGTGGCATGTTAACATGAATTCAGGTTGCTTACAGATTACCCGATTATAAATGTTGAGGGACGCTGGACCCGATTTCCAGCAGGTGTTGCTCCCCACCAATAGATGGAGCCTCCCCCAGCATGTTAGTGGTGTCTGCTCTTATCAGCACCCCTAGCATTCACTCGGGTTGTTTTCTCCAAAAAAAAAAAAAAAAAAAAAAAAAGCGCTTTCCAAGTATTATTACGTTCTAGGTGGTACTATTATACTATATACACTATTGACGTTGAAATTCTCGTGATGACTGTCAGAACGGACAACAACATAAAGAAAATGCCAGGAGCATTAACAGAAATCAAAAACCTCACAAACTCCACCCTGCTTATGTTAGAAAAAAAAATTCCTTTAGTAACGGCACGGTGATAGATTATGACCATCCCGCTAAATTGAGGATCATCCCACTAAACCATTCCCTTACCCTATCCACTACTGCCACCATAGATTACGCCTTACCCTCAGTTGGGAGTCCCATGACCACCTGCTTAGTGCAGGCGGAACAAAAAAACATAAGATCCATAATCATCACACCTGAGAGCACAGAGAACAGTCGGTCTCACTGAATAAAGGCTCACAAAAGGAGATCAGGTACAAAGTGCACAATGCTCCCAACGTACCATTTCGGTTCAATGGATTGCCCATCATCATTCAGATAGGAGAGAAGACCATCATCTGCTTCCGGAAAGAGCATACGAGTCAAAGGGCTCAGACGAGTGTAAATGTAACGGGGGCTTGCAGCATCCTTGCCTCCCTGCAGTGTCAACACATCGAAACAAACGCAAAAGCAATCTCTTAGCTGCCAAGGAGAGACCTGTTTGTTAGTTCACTATCAATCAGGTAAAAATTTGATGCAATCAGAAGCATAGATGAGGAGAGAGGTTGGATTCGATGGACGAGGACGATGTGAAGTATCCGTGGAAAGTTGTCAGCAGAACGAGAAATGGAAGTACAGACGAGCACCAAAAGAAAGAAGAATTCACCAAGGCAAGGGTTGATTGAGAAAGGGGAGGGCTAAGGATAACATCAAATGACAGCAATTTTTCACTTTTTCAAAGGTGGACGGTCTAGATGTGTCATCATGGAGCTGACTGGACCAATGTAATTCAGAGTTATGTTATTTTTCTCATTCAACCAAGATTCGAACCAAGGTCAGTTCATGGGTGAACCATTTACACAGGTCCGCTCCTGTATTGACCATGAGAATCGTGCATAACATCAACATGAAGATTTGGATGGTAGAGTCGTACAAATTTCCATAAGAAGCAGGTTAAGGAAGGATAGGAGGATGACAACAGCAGGCAAGGGAGCATTAAGTAAGAAGGGGAAACGGGGTTAACTTGGGAGGCAGAGATAGAGGACGTTATACACAGGAAGGGAGCGAAGTACATGGAGAGGGACAGATGCACAGAAACAAGAAAACATGAATACAGGCAGACAAGAGAGTGAGAGGAGAGAAAGAGAGACAGATCTGCAATACAGACTGGGAGGACACCTACGCGATGCATATTCATGACATAGGGACTGTACCAAATTGGCTGAAAGAGCTGTAGCAAACCGGCACAGTACTTCCTTGAATAACGAATGATTTGTTCAATTGGAAAGAAGAAAAGACAGAAGACTGTTTGAAAAAAGAACTGGAGTACGAGTACATGCAAGATAAAAGATTGAGACTTGCCTGCAAACGTGTACCGAACTGTCCACTGGGCATCAAAAGGTTGACGTTGTTGCTGCCAACAAAATCCTGAGCCATATTGACAATCGTACTGGACAAGCTGGCTTCTCCATGATGATATGCAGAATGTTCTGAGACATAGCCTGAAAGCTGGGCGACCTGCAATTTCCAATATTCAAGAAAAGTCATTTCTAGAATGTTCGCAAGCCCTAGTGTTAATCATTTTCAAAAATGAAGTTCAGATGATACTACACATGACACAAGTACGACTTCCATCTTGACAGAGCAGATCAAATCTAGTATTGCATTAACGGAGGCAGCAAGTGAACTTCCTGACAAACACAGAATGTCCGAGTACCTCAAAGTGTGCGCTCAGGTGCGCATGTACTTCCGGTGGCTATTTCAAGGGGTCTAGGAGATTTCTCAGTACAACTGCGCACCTGAACATGAGACAGAAGATACATGCACTTGGAAAAGTGAGAACATAAGGGACAGTGCTGGACTGCTGCCATTCTTCAGCTAGTTATAGACGAGTACCAGATTGAGAACATAAGGGACAGTGCTGGAGTGCTGGACTGCTGCCATTCCTCTACCAATATCAACCAGAAACAGACAACAGGCAATCTTGTCCGCCTATCACAGAGAGAAGGACCCAGCTATTTCGTTAAATGTTACCGAAAACAAGGAAATGCTTCATTAACGTACCTTGATATCATTCTTCAAGTTCCTCTTGAAACATGAGAAGAGGATTTTGCGCTGTCCCGGTTTCAATCCGTCCACAGCCGATGGAATGGACCTTGCAAGGTCTGCCATTGAGAACAAAATCAGCTCCTGGTTCACGAAGTCCGTGTAGTTCAGAGTCGTGTTTGTGAGGTCGATGTATGTCCCTTCCTGCACCACAAAAGGATCGCAGTATTCCATTCAGAAAGGAGTATAGCAACCTCCACAATCTGGGTCTCATGCAGGGAGGTAGGAGCCAGCCAGTAAGAGACCGGAGAAGGCAGAAAAGACAACAGAATACCTGCTTCCATGCTTGCCTTCCTAGTACAAGGTCGGAGAGCATTGTGGAAAGGAGAAGAGAAATCTGCACAGTTTGCTGTTATGAACTTCACTGGGCATGAACAGAATGCGGAATGGTAAAAACAGGCTCCCAGTAGAATGTTTGTCAAACATTTAACAAAACGGTGAGAGCTCATGGCAATAATCAGCCATAGACCTCCGGCCACCAGCTCAAATGGCCATGAAGCCATGCAGAGCTCCATTATAAACCATCCGACTGCCAGAATCCATGACAAACAACATACAAGCTGCGGAAATAAGTGTCCTTCGGGACATCCGTTAAAATTGGAACGATACAGAGAAGATTAGAATGGCCCCTGCGCAAGGATGACACGCATAAATCGAGAAATGGTCCAAATTTTTCAACAAAAAAAAAAAAGCTGAGGAAAGAAGATGAGAAGGACAGAATTCGCCAATGCTAGTAAACCCGTCAATCGATATCAAAGAAATCAATCGATAAACCAAACAACACACTGGAAATCCAACAAATGACCGTGTCTGAAATCTCCTGGATGCTGCTGTCCAAATGCACCTAGCTGTGCAGATGACCTGCAGACGTAAAGTGCGGCAAGACAGGGATAGGAGTAAAGAACTGCGAATGTTCCAATGGCCAGGACGCCTCTTCCAGAATCTACCTGGACGGGCATCAGGCCAGGTGAATCTTCTGTTATGTCTGCATGTGTTGTGGATTGCCTGCTACATCCTGATAGGGACAAACATATGAAAAAACAACTGCGAATGTTCCAATGACCAGGATGCCTCTGCCAGAATCGACCTGGACGCGCAGCAGGCGAGGTGAATCTTCTGTTGTGCCTGCATGAATTGTAGATTGTCAACTACATTCTGATAGGTACAAACAAAAGCAGCCCCTTAACGTATTCTCCGCCCATTGAATCCGCATTTTTTATGGTTTTTCAAACAGGGTATAGCACATGACATCAGGCGAAGGGAACTGCAGGCAAATCATACCAAAATGAAACACGAATTCCTTACCTCAAAATTCCTGAGCCATCTCTTACGATCCTCGATTTTCTTCTTGCTGAAAGCCAGCTCAATAGCCTCCCCATCCTCTTCCGTCCTCCATTCAAAGTCTTTCCGATGCCTGTCCAACTCAGAAAAGTACTCCTTGGCCTCCTTCGCTGACGAGGTACCCAGACCCTGTTCCACACCACACCAGATGCAATGAATTAATCATCTGCAACATCTGCTATGACCAATTAATTCAATTCCACCCCTGCTACGCAACTTGTATCACATTCATCCAGACAGCGAGGTTGCAATTTCAGTCCGCAACAGGATGCACATACTTCAAACACTTGGTATTATACATATTCCAAACTCACGATACAAGCTGTTGTGGCCGCTATAGCCATCACACTCATGCAGGTAATCTTGCTTCCTCTCTCTCTCTCCCAAACTCTCTCTCTCTCAAGAATTCACCTGACTCGCTCTCACATTCCGCCCTTTTGTCACTCATCCCTGCTCTCGCACGCTTCCTGAATACACCAGCTCTCATCTACTTCTACCCTCACCACCTTCTACCTCTGTGAACCCTAGCTACAGCACGACCCTTCCCCTTCGTCATCGATGCCGTGGTCTGTCAGCTGTTGTCTGTTCCTGAAGTCTCCAGACTTCCCTGGGATACTGCTGCAAAATCGGACTTCGGGACTTCGGACTTTCCTTGTCAGTTACTGGCCTGACTCCTACGCAACTACGACGCTTCAGTTACCGGACCCTACCAGACTCCTACGACCTTGGGACTGGAACCTACCAGGACCTACGGGACTGGGACGAACTGGGACTGGGACCAAGTGGGACTGCAGGATTGGATACACCGTTGCAGCATGAAATCCTTTCCCACCACAAATAACTACTAGGACGTCCCAAAATCAAAAGAGGCCCTTGATGGCAAAACGTTCCTCAAACAAACCCGTAGAAAACGAGTTACCATCTCAGATTCCCCTCCCCAGTGCCGACTGCTACATGTTTACTGACGTTCAAAGTCTTGTCCGAGGAAAACGAAATTGAAATATAATTGCGTGAGAAAGGACAAGAGAGCACCAGAGAGATGAGACAGGAGAGAAAAAAAAAGAGGAAGAGTTGGAGGGACAGTGGTTCTTTTTTTTTTCTTTTTCGGATGGTTCAATACAGATATACGAGCACTTTGGATGACGCTAATACAGTTGGAGCTGGTTACAGTGGCTTTTCAGTTCCTGATGTGTAGGTTGGTAGTGAGGCTTAACTGAGCGTCCTCGAAAATTGTGATAATCCGAAGTATTTCTTGGGCTTGCCAAGTCTGAGTTCACTGGCCCCTAAATTGTTTGTTCTTCCCGGGCAAGCCGACCCAAACTTTGGTGTAAAAAATCTAAGTTCGTTCGGTTTGCGTCATCATTTTCATTTGTCATCACCATGCATACATTCAGAATTCGGGGATTTTACTCTCACAGCGTAGAAATCACATACAACAGTGATGTCATACCGTCACCCATAGCCGTTATGGCCCTATTTCGCTCAGGCTGCATTTATTTCTTGTGCCCCTTCTACCCGACTCCCACCCATCTAATCTAACCCTGGTAATGTTTTACTTGACAACACGATCCTACACACGTCCCAGAGTTAGCACAGGACCGCGTTCGTTTCATATCTTCTCCTTCGTCGATTTCGTTTGCTACTTGACACTGTTCGCCTTCAATCTCTCGATTTGCTTAGCTTACCATTTGTCGGGCCGTTGGTCGACAGTCCTTGATTCTAACCAAGGATGGAAGATTGCTAAGTACCTGCCCTTCAGTGAACCTTTGCCAGAGGTCACAGCATTGCATACTGAAAACTGCCATGCTGTCGTTTTACATCTTATAGACTAGATCCCCGTTCTTGACAGATCCACAATGGATCAACGGGCCAAAAAGGTAAAGACACTAGGAGGATGGGCCCTGATGAATTCTTGCCTGAAGGAGAAAGTACTCTAGGTGATGAGGAGGCGAGAATCATATCGTGCGTGATGTTTTCCCCTAGCAAACAACCAACGCACACCTTATAGTACTTCACGCTCCAGCCTTTTGTTGATCCACCCAGCGATTCTTTCCACGCGTCATATTCAGGCATTGTGTAGAAAGTCAACGTCCTTCCACCCTTCGTCGCCTGCAAAGACGAATTAACACAACAATGAGAGACAATATGAGACGCGAAGTCAGCCAAATAGCATCACCCATGCTCACTCTCTCTCTCTCTCTCTCTCTCTCTCTCTCTCTCTCTCTCTCTCTCTCTCTCTCTCTCTCTCTCTCTCTCTCTCTCTCTCTC